AAAAAATTGAAAAGAAAATGAAAGATGACAAAATAAGCTTTAATTTGATGTGTGTCTCGAGCACCTCGGAGACTTGTAAGTATTTTTCCCGATTTTTTGAATTGGGAGCATTTACCATTGGGGTTTATGGAAGTTTATTTACTGGTCTGCAACCATAGGCAGTCGGGCCGGGTGCGCATGCGTATTTCGAAGTACGTTGAGTTGCAAGTCAGGTTCTCGAACTTTATTTTCCCTTGAAAAAAAAATCCTCCAAACCACAAAAAGCATTCAATGGGAATCGAACTCGCACCATCGGATTTGTAATCCGATGGAGTATCCATGACACTACAGCAGTGACTCGATCGATGTGGTAGTTTTGAACATTAACGCTATTGCACATAATATGGGGCCCTCCAGCATAATTCTGTATATACTAACAGCGTGTGGTATGGAAAAAATAGTGCTTATTCTTCCAAAACGTAGACACACTATTAAGGTATGCAGCAGATAACTAAATTTTTACAAGGAATTAGCAACCATGAGGTTCTATGTCACAATCGCAGTTTCACCTGAGAAAGACGAAGGAGTCAATACACGAGTTAGTGCAGGAAAACCGCCAGGCTGGCGAATACGAGAATGGATGGTACTGCAGCCGTGACGACATTACCAGCTATGAAGACAAAGAAATATAAAAAACGATGTTCTTTTAGACGAGTCGTAATAATAATAACAATACAATATTCCTCTAAGTAGGGGATGTGGAGTTAGGGAGACGTTGAAATGTCTGCCTAATTCGACGCGTCTCCCAAAGGTATAACTTATGACGCTAAAGTGTCTCCCAAAGGGCATACTTGCTATTATAATACAACGTGTTTATAATGAAAGCGCTTTACGAAGAACAAAGCGCTTAACACACATCCACGAAAAAAATAATAGAAAGAGAAACAGACACAATACGATTACGATTGGACTTGGAACAAAAATGTCTTAAAGTCGGAGTCCATCATTTGCAGCTATCCAAAAAAGTAATTGGCGTAATTATTGTTGAAAAACATACTGGTTGAAAGATAGTGAGGAGACTAAACTCCCTGTGAAATTATTCTTTCTGACAAGCTCTCATTTTGAAGAAATCAACGAAAGAAGGCATTTCCAACGGTGCGTCTTAAGAAGTACCGTAGGAAATATTTAATTAGTAGTTCGTTTTGTTATTCGGCGCAGCGCGCGCAAGTATTGGCACGACGCACAGGCGCGCGCAGTTGCTATAATTCGTCGGATCAGTGCGCAACATCGCGTATAGCTGCAATTCAAAACAATTCAAAACATGATTCAGCAACTTTTGATTTGAAATTGAGATCCTAGAATGCTGTTTTTCTCGGAATAAACAGCTGAAGCTGAGATGAAACTTCATCAGGTTAGTTGTTCAGTATCCTTCATTAGATTTTGAACACTTTTGTTGCTTCAAACGAACAAAATGCACAAATTACAAATGATGGACTACTCTTGAAGGAGACGTTTGAATACAGGCAGCGAGACCGCCAGGAAGGAAGCTCATTCCACATGCGAGGGGCGGCTTCAATGAAAGAGCTATCTCCGGCCTTCTTCCTACTTAGCAGTGGCGTTTCTAGGTGGGGGGGGGGGGGGGGGGGGGCTAGGGGGGCTTTTGTCTAGCCCCTCCCCTCCAAAAAAAATTCCATAAAAAAAATTCACCAGCAAATGTATGAATTTGACGTACATGGGAACGGTCTCCCCCTAAATGAGAAGGGCGAATTTGTACACTTTTAGTTAACATGGGCCTCGTGCGCCAACGTATTGGTTTTTAGAGGCCTAAGTGTCCGGAGAAAATAACCGGTCGACACACCTCCCTGCTGACAAAATATTGGATCCACCTTGCTAGCCCCCCAAAATATTGGCTCTAGAACCGCGCCTGAAGTACGTACATGTAGTATGCAATTAATGCAACGCTGTTAACCTGTGTCGATTAGCCTACGTATGCAGTTCATCAGCGCGATAACAGCAGGTAGGTTGCTGATCCCTTCTCAGTTCTCTTTTCAATGTCACTGCCATGGGTCGATCGAGTCTCGAGGCAAGACTAGAATACTGATTTTGTGGACAGGACACACTGGCTTACACACGATGTCGATTCCAGAAATTATTTGGCTGTGGCTAGCAGATACACAAGTTTCTATGGGAAGAGGCTTTAGCCGCTTCCGTAGGCACAGGTGTAATTGGTGCATTGCAAGCCGTAGCCAAGCAATGCGGAAGTGCTAAGCGTGTGGTGGGCGTGGATTGTTTTACAAGATAGACTGAAAACCAGTCTGACTATTATCCACAAATCAGTGAACAAACGATACTGCCTGCATGCCCGCTCGCGAATTTTGTTTCTGTAAATGTCGTGCATAATTCAATGTTCCTCTGAATCATTGGGGACCGTATCATAGGTCCGATGCCTCATAGGTCCGACGTCCTATGGGCTCCGTGTGCCGACAAAAGAGGGCGCCCTTTTACCTAGCAACGACGTCCCATGGGCGGGACATTTCGCTGGTTGACGTGCACCGTTCCGTGTGTGTGACGCACGTACACCACGGAATTTGTACTATGTACACGCAGTGGCCGCGCTTTGCGGCAAATGAATTGCAGTCAGGCAAGATGGCGTCGGTCGGTCACCCCAACTGTACTTTCATTGCCGGTGAGGGGGTACTTGTGAACGGAGCGGATATGAAGTGTCGGACTTAAGAGACATACATTTCGCCTCATAGGTCCGACGCCTCTTAAGTCCGACGCCTCATAAGTCTGACAATGGACAAACTCGTTTCAGACTTATGAGGCGCCGGAGCTATGAGGCGTCGGACTTATGCGGCGTCGAACATATGAGGCGGAATTTATGCCTCAAGGTCCAACGCCACATATGTCCGACGCCCTTATATGAGGCGTCGGACCTATGAGGCGTCGGACTTATGAGCGGACCCTAATCATTGCAGGACACTTACGTTCTCGTTCGCTTTATTCCCTTACAATTAAATTTTCTCAACGATAAGTTCAGAGAAGAAAAATAGTCGATGAAAATGAGCAGCGACGATGTGGATTGGAACCAGAGATCTTTGTATCCTATAGCTCCTCTTGCTATCCACAAGGCCAATGACAATTCAATTGAATCTAATTTGACTTAATTATCTCTAACGGGAAATTCAATGACAAAAGCGTTAAAAATATCCAAACAAATACTAGGCCTACACAAAACAAAACCAATGCACCAGTCGACCTATACGAATGTACGGTGGTCTTCCGCAAAATCATTTAAATAAAAATCAAAAGAGAAATATAATTGCTTTCATATTGTCTCAAAAACACTTTCCTTGAAGTGTAAACAAAATGTTCCCGACACCACGAAGTAACACCCAAGTCCACTTCAGTGTTTCTACTTCTTGAAGACCGCTGAATGACAAAATACTGGATACTGGCTACACATGTTAAGAGTTTTTCATAATCCATTAAGACCGGTCGCTGCCATGTCTTTAGAATGAAACTGAGCACTATTCAATGCAGAGCCTTGATCATCTCGTGAGAGCACCAAACGACAACTTGCTGCCTCATTCCTCTGCTACGTTTAAAGGGTGTTACAACTAATAATGTAGTAACCAACGGATAATGTATCACCAACCGATAATGTCACACAAATTGATCGATACTGTATCACTAACCGATAATGTAACAGAAATTGACCGATAGTGTAGTAGAAATGTACTACACTATCAGTCGATTGTTGTTACATCATCGGTCTTAACCGATAATGTAACAAATATTGACCGATAGTGTAGTAACATTTACTACAGTATCGGTCAATTTCTGTTACATTATCGGTTAGTGATACAGTATCGGTCAATTTGTGTGACATTATCGGTTGGTGATACATTATCCGTTGGTTACTACATTATCAGTTGTAAAAAAGGGAATATACAACATTTTTAAACATCGAAAAACAAATCTACCAAATATTTACGAAATACCTTACTAGGATGTTGGTAATTGACAGTTTAAAGCATCCTGTAAAATTATGTCACCTGGTGTGAAGTCATTTTGATAAAAAAATGGTATTTTTGAATAAATTTCCAGTGACGGTCGGCCGACCACCGTGGGAAAAACCTAATTATTTTTCAACTACTGCTCCAAATTTACCATTTTTTCAGTCCAAATTTTGTTTCCTATTGGTTACATGTTCATAAACAGGTGCAGGCCAGCTCGACTGGTTTCCTTATCTTACAATTTTCCGGCATCTATAAATTGATCCAGTTCATCTTTAGTGGAATCAGGGAACCAGACTACTTGAACTTTTTTCTTGGTTTTTCCAGCATTTTCGAACACTAAACTTCGAACATGTCAGTGTAACAATATTTGATCTATTATACTAACCCCTCAAATAGTTCATTTACTGAAAATTACAGCAAAAGCCAATGATGTACATTCCCTTTAACCGGGAAAAAAATAAGATCGTGCAGACGGACGTGCACATCTAAAAACAAACTGGTTTTCAGAAAGAGTAGGATTTTGCTTGCTTATTAACCATTTTCCTCCATAAACTCTAATGATTGTGACTTTAAAACTGGTCACCAGGTACCAACAAAGAAAAAGGAAAAACCGGGATCTTCGGCATCATTTACAACATTAAACATTTACAATTGTCCATGCTTTTCCGGACAACTGAGGGCGCTGTTGTCGTGATGTCATTTCAGCGAGAAAATGTTTATTAGGTGCTTTTCTGTTGAAATAGTGAACCCAAAAATTGCTCTTTGAAAACATTTGTGAGAAAAGTTTGCTCATTGGCTAACTGAATTAACACAACAAGGAATCACTAAAGAAACGGAAGTTTACGACGGCGAAATATCCCAAATTTTCGCAACTTTTTGTGCATAATTTAATTGCTAAGTTTCAGCCTGATATGACATAACGTTTTGCTCATGAATATGGAAATTCGCATTAGCATCAAAACCAAAAAGGCGCCAAAATACCCTTGAAAATGGAAAAATGAAAATTGAAAATGAGGTTAAAAGGGACACAAAGGTGCACATTTTCAAGGATGACATTAAAACAATTAATTTCATTGGCCCTTTAAAATGGAAAGAATTTCTTTTCGTAATTGGAGTTCACAGTTTGGCTTCAGGGTCATTCGCCGGGCGGGAACATCACCAAAAGTATCAGTAAGCACAGAACAGTTTTATCAAGTTCTATTTTGATCTATGCCAAGTGTGTGCGCTGGGGGGGGGGGGGCGCATTTGCCTGCCCCCATTTTTCTCTTGGCCTAGTTCCCTCCACACGTTGCATACCTAGAGATGAACTCTATTTATTTTTTTCGCTGTTCAGAATCAGAACTATATACTTGAAGGTAGAGATGAACTCATTTTGCTTGTTTGTAACATTAGCGATGCCGATTAAGCATGCTTAATTAACCCTACACACATTAATGAAAGCAACTACTCTAGACTAAAATCTTAAATCTTCCATTTAATATCTAGATTATCTGTTTATCCCAATCGAATTTCACACCGGACTCAACGCTCGGTGCTGCCATTCAAGTTTTGTCTGATGTGGTGGATTTATTCACAACGATACTCGATATCGAATCCTTTGTAGTTGTACAAGGAGTCGCTCTTGAACGTCATCAAGGCCACGTTTGTTTTGGAGTCTTTGGTGACACCTTTCAGTTCATAATCACAGTATCTGGAGGTCAAAGCAAAGTGATTAAAAAGAACAAAATAAATCTAAGTCTTGGACTTACTGCATGGGCACACTTGATTGCGGTAACATCCCTTCCATCCCTACGACTACACTGAAGAGAATTATCCCCTGGAGTAGATACTACGTCTACGATAATGGCATTTAAATTTAATCTCCGGTTATTAGGTGGTGGGCAGGCGCAGGACGTTCTCGTACATGAAATGATTGACATCTCCAGCAACAACTTTTAGAGGCCTACATGTGGATACTATTCATTGTAGACTAATATGCACTCTGAATTGTACAGAAATGGGACTGACTTGTCAGGGTATATCTCATCGATGATGTCACCAGTTTTCGTTTCAAAAATGTCGTAGAAGCATCCAAATCCTTCAATGTCGAAGTCCTTGAAGTCCAGGTGGACGGTCATACCGACTGGACACTGTACAAGATGAATGGGGAAAATAGGAATCTGAATGAACTATAAATCTATAAAACATGGGTACTTCTATAACTTACTTAACTATACTCTCACACCGGCCATCGAGCTGGTCCTGAGCGCTTCCCCATCAAACAAAAATGGAAGGTGAGGAATATATATACTATAAAATAGTAATATGGAACCTGAAGTGTTTGTTTCTTTTCAAGGACATTTTCTGCAAACGACTGTCTGCTGTCTTCTGATGTAAAGTTTTGAGTATCCTCTTTTTTATTTGAAAAAGTGTGTCAAAAGTTCCCAGTATTTTTGTTATTTAGCGATTATTTATACCAATTCACAGTAGCACAAACGAGTGTAAATTCCAGCTCCTTTTTAATGACCTCATAACTTGCTCCTGTCCATCCATTTCGATTGATGTGTGAAATAATGTTTGGAAAAATGAGTAATGTTTTATAGCGACTTGCTGCATTTTGGATGCTGAGTTATGAGCCTACCTCGATGGCGTAGACACACTCGGTGTTGCTGGGGTATCTTTCCGGGTAGCCTGGGCTCTGGATTACTCCTGATGTGGCCTTAAACTCCGCACTGCAAGCTGAACCATTTATTGAGAGAACAATTTAATAACACGTAATTAAGGTTAACCGCAATTCCTTTCACAAAGGAATAAGAAACCAACTTTTTGTCATAAAATTGAAATTTGTCTGACTTGATATTTCAATGAATCATGCCTAGTTTATTCTAACAACCTCCTTTGTTAAGATGTATTTCTTACACGAGTAGACGAAAATAATCACAGAGAGTGGGCAATAAGCACTTTGACATCAAACTTTGTTTACTTGTGCGCTTTTCTTTGGTGCTACGAAACCGTCGTCCCCACCAGCCTCCAATAAGAAAGTACACGTGTAAACAAAGCAAGACGTCATCAGTACAGAGGCGTATTCCAACTTAAGTTAGATAATGTTTTCTCTTGACAAAAATGGAGCGCGATGTGTGCGTGAATTAGTTTCTGAGACTCAGGCAAACTGTTTTAGGAGTATCAACAGCCTGTTCAATATCTCCACGTTGCCGTATTTAATTAACAACAACCCATACTTCATGAAAAGCACAATAATATCTACGGACAAACTTGAGGGTATACTTTGAGCAGTTTAATGCGATTTTGGGACCTCTAAAAACAAATGGAGCGATTAATCTACTCTTCTCAAACAAGCATGCCGTGGTGTAATCGTCTGTGCCCCTACCCGTCTCGCCGTTGAAGATCTCACAGTAAGCTCCCTTGTATTCCTCCGGACAAACGCAGGTGCATTGCTTGGACGGCAAGCCGCCATGTTGACACTTATCCTTCAGGTCCTCGGGGCAACCGTCTGAGGTAAGACAAGATGGCGACAATGAGAAATTAATAATTTTTGTTGCGCTCCAACCCCATGGAGTATCAGTGTGCGCATGTTTATGGTGTAAATCGAGGACACGCGTGTGAAGCATCGAGTAAATGAGGACAGGAGTTAAATCGAGGACGTCCTCGATTGAAGAAAACGTGTACAAAACCAATGACAGCTGTTGCCGAAAGTTCAAGTATGAGCAAAAGATCGACGACGAGGAGCCATAGAAAATCCTCAATTTACACCCTAAACAAACCTATGTCCTGGCCTACACAGCGTTATGGGAAGGTTTTTCATCAGTTAGGATAATTAGGACCGAATTGTGGGGACTACTTGCTGTGTGGGGGCTGCTTGCTGTCCCCATAGCGTTTTTGGATCCCACAAATACGTCGTATAGAGACGAGTGTATGTCCCCACAACTACGGAACAAGAATGTGCTTTAACCTTCCATTCTCTTCGTGGACCTGTGAACAAAAGAGGTCCACGGGAAGCGTGAACGCTTTGTGGACTTGCACACGTCCACACTAGGTTTTCCCTGCTCTAGAAAACAGAACAGGTTAAGAGGGAAATGAAGAGGAACACTCAAGGAAATCATCCTAAAAACTTTCGTCTTTTTTTTTTAACTAAACGAATACACAGGAATGTTCACAGTAGATATGCAAGGTAAGTCTGAAGGGGTGCGTGTACAAACACTGCCTTGTGGGGTACCGGAACAATGGGAGGTACCCCACAAGGAATGCCCACCGACTTGCGGGGTACCATTTTGGTACCCCACAGGTTTTTCACGAAATAGTTATATGGATTTTACTCAAAAACTAGGAATTTCCAAGGTGGGTTGATCCGTCGCAAATGGAAGAGTTTTAGAAACGGGATATTAAGTCCGAATTTCAGCCCAGGAAATTAACTTTGGTTAAAATAAGATCATTTTGACATAAGTGTGCGACGTTGCAAAATGTTAATACACGAGAACAAAGGAAGTACCCCACTTCTATGCCTATGTAAGCATGGGTGTGTAGGTGAGTGGGGTGCAATTTAAAAAGCCGGGGCTTATTTGAGGCTTGGGGCGCTTCTACGTTTTTTTTACTGTCTCTCGTGTTTAATCATATTACACAAATCCTTGAGGGAGAGGGTGTGAGTAGCATCGGCCATGGCCTCCATTGGGCGCCTCTCGGATTCACCTTGGGGGAGGAGGCACTTTGCCGCTGACGTCATTAACACGTGCTTTTATAGCGACACTATACGTCCTGGAGAGTGCCCCCTTGAGATACAAAACGCGTCTTGATGTATAAAGAGCATTTATAAGTACAATGTTAACGTCTACACATTCATGATTTGGAAATTGCTGTTTTGTGTTTGCGAGAACGAATTCAGGGTTGTCCAAATTTTGAATCAAAAATCGAGCTGTTGGGTGCTTGTCGTGATTCCAGTCGCACAATTTCACCATTAAATGGATGCACGAGCACGTGACGGAAACAACACTTTGCACGCAATGAGTGCAGGTTATGTACTTCTTTCATGATATATCTTTCTTGTCATTTTTTCTCATCAGGATGTTCAAATAGAAATGATCAGGTTTTAAGTTCGCATGTTATTTATTAGCTCGATCGGTATGTTAAACCCCATTAATCAAAAATTGTGGGAGCAGATATGAAAGATGTTACCCTGAGATAAGAGTTCACAAAATTATTCTGCTCCAGGGTTTAAAATACCGATGGATTTATGTTGCTAATATATAACCTGCGAACTTAAAACCTGATCATTTCTAATTGAACAAAACTGAATGAAAATAATTTGGCATCCCCCGCTTTTAAACATTGTTCCGAACGAAAAATAAAATGAAATGGTGGCATATTCTAAGAAACAACCAATTTTGAGCCTCCTCAGGACCTAAACCTGGATACGCCACCCCCGAAAATTATGGGATATAAGGAACTTTCTGTAGTTCAGACGATGCCAACTCACTGTTCGTTGCAACTTGTCACGTCACATGAACTATGTTTTGATCGTCGCATGAACTACAGTTTGGGAATTGCCAGATAGCTGGAGTGTAAAAGTAACGAGAAATTTCGAAAATGAAATTCTATACTGTATACACAACTAATGGGAATGTCAAGATTACAAAAACGAGCGTATCCTGAACTCTTTTTTTTTTAAATGGTTGATTCTTTATACCGCATACATACTTGTTTAGGGATGGTGTTATTGTCTTCCTACGGACCAAAATTTGTGTTAAGGTATGTCTCATCTTTAGAAATTGTTCCCGTGGATTGTTGTTTCAAAGATCACTTTTATTAGAGTTTCAATGATATTTTAAAATATTTAACTAAGGAACAGTGGACTTTGACCTCACCGTAGCAGTCGTACATCAGGTTAAACTTGTAGATGTCAAGTCGGGAAAGGCTCCACTGTCTTCCCATCTTCTCCCCCTCCGAGATATCGTGAGGGATGATGGTTTCCATGAAGTCATTTCTGCTGAAAGCCTATATGAATATACAAATATGCACACTGAAGTACATGTACATGCATATTAATAGATGTCCTAAAAATTTTCGTTTATAAACTACATGTTCAATGAGCCAAAGTAGGGGTAAATTGTCGCTCAAAACAGCACGGCAATTCCGTTCCTAATGACCGACGGATGAAAAGGTCCATTTCGATCATTTTGGAGTACCTAAGGTCGATCGAGGACATTGGTTGACAAGTGGTTTATCTGTGACGTAAGCTACGCCTGGGCACTAATAGCAAGAACGTGTGTACGATGGGACGATGGGCAAAAAGTCATAGAAACATGATCTTGGTCGTGGCTAACTGTCGTTCATGTTGATATGAAGCGAGCGGCCATTTGATTTATACTGTCATGTGGTTGCGAAGGGCAAAGGCTATGTAACACTTCATTTTGAATGAAACTACATGTACACCCACATGTTCACCATTGGCGGGCAGAATCTTTGAAAACTTTCAGGGTTTACTTCCTTCATTATGATCCAAGTATGTGCTGAAAATCGTTGTGATTCATTACTTTTTGTTGAAATTGGAAAACAAGGCCTGGCTAAGTGCACTTTTGAAAGTCTGTACACTAGCGTTTGCAATATCTGTCAATCTTTTCAAGACTAAAAAATATTAACAAGGTTCCTATTTATTATGCTTTGCAGTATACATTTGGAGAAAAGCTTCCTTCACGAGTTATAATTGATAAATATCACCCTTTTTGCTGGCTTCAATTGGTCGATACCGAGACCCATGCCAAAACACGCCGAGTGACGCTAATGAATATGCTTATCTACCATACACGGTCAACCGTTGCACCTACAACGCTTTGCTGAACAATGCACAGTTAATCGTGTCGGCGGAATTTCCTCGTCGAAATTTACCATGGAGATGGTTCTAGTTGATACACTAGCGTTTGCAACAACATATTAAGCAGAAATTCGGAGTATTCTTAAATGATATAAGTGTTGAACTACTCGTGAAATAACAACTTGGAGAGATTCCTAGAAATTGAGGTTAATACATGCATTTGGGGAGGTTTTCGAACGATTTCGTTCAGACTTGAAGGTCAGCTTTACCAGTCACCATTTTTGACGTTTCGGCATCGATGACCGAGATTTTTTCACTGACATGAAGTTTAGAATTTTGTTTTCCGTTATACATTTCAATCATATTGAGCATGTTTTCTGAGCACACAACGTTCAAAAGGCCATGTTTTTGGGGGGTGCATGGATTTCACTGCTCTATTATAGCGTCTAAGTACGTAATCGGATTAGCTTTGCCTAAAAACACAAGATGCTTTGCCTTAGCAACCACATGACTGTATATATTAACCAGAAATGCGAGTATACAATGTAGTTGACTAGCCTATCAAACTATCGTCGTTCAGCCTGAGTTGAAGATAGTTGATTAATGATTAACCAGTGTGGTATAGACCAGTCGATTCCATCACATGCATCACAAGTCCCTGCACGTCCATCATAAGTCCCTGCATGTCCATCATAAGTCCCTGCATGTCCATCATAAGTCCCTGCACGTCCATCATAAGTCCCTGCACGTCCATCATAAGTCCCTGCATGTCCATCATAAGTCCCTGCATGCCCATCATAAGTCCCTGCACGTCCATCATAAGTCCCTGCACGTCCATCATAAGTCCCTGCACGTCCATCATAAGTCTCTGCATGTCAATCATAAGTCCCTGCATGTCCATCATAAGTCCCTGCATGTCTGCATGTCCATCATAAGTCCCTGATGTCCATTATAAGTCCCTGCACGTCCATCATAAGTCCCTGCATGTCCATCATAAGTCCCTGCATGTCCACCATAACTCCCTGCACGTCCATCATAAGTCCCTGCACGTCCATCATAAGTCCCTGCATGTCCATCATAAGTCCCTGCATGTCCATCATAAGTCCCTGCATGTCCATCATAAGTCCCTGCATGTCCATCATAACTCCCTGCACGTTCATTATAAGTCCCTGCACGTCAATCATAAGTCCCGGCATGTCCATCATCAGTCCCGGCATGTCCATCATAAGTCCCTGCATGTCCATCATAAGTCCCTGCATGTCTGCATGTCCATCATAAGTCCCTGCATGTCCATCATAACTCCCTGCACGGCCATCATAAGTCCCTGCACGTCCATCATAAGTCCCGGCACGTCCATCATAAGTCCCTGCATGTCCATCATAAGTCCCTGCATGTCCATCATAAGTCCCTGCATGTCCATCATAAGTCCCTGCACGTCCATCATAAGTCCCTGCACGTCCATCATAAGTCCCTTCACGTCCATCTTAAGTCCCTGCATGTCCATCATAAGTCCCTTCACGTCCATCATAAGTCCCTGCACGTCCATCAAAAGTCCCTGCACGTCCATCATAAGTCCCTGCATGTCCATCATAAGTCCCTTCATGTCCATCATAAGTCCCTTCATGTCCATCATAAGTCCCTTCACGTCCATCAAAAGTCCCTGCACGTCCATCATAAGTCCCTGCATGTCCATCCTAAGTCCATACGTGTCCATAATAAGTCCCTGCATGTCCATCATAAGTCCCTGCACGTCCATCATAAGTCCCTGCATGTCCATCCCAAGTCCCTACGTGTCCATCATTAGTCCCTGCGTGTCCATCATAAGTCCCTGCATATGTCCATCATGGGTCAAGTCTTTCAGACTCACATCAAGTCACTAGCTATTCAAACAAACTGCAATAACAGCATTCCTTTGTCGATGTTCATCCAGTGAAGAGTATACACATAGACTGTCATGAGGTCACAAGCGCATGTCTATGCGCCCCGAGCAGTGGCGTAGCCGGGGGGCAGGGCGTGGGGGGCGACAGCCCCCCCCCCCCCCATGAAAGCCCCCCAGCGCCCCCCAACTGAAAAATTCTTGGCTAGCCACTGGCCCCGAGGGACTGTAAGTGACCAGAAGAGGTTCGGCATCGGGAAATAGGACCCCCTTCTGGTCACTCACTGGCACGAGGGTGGCATAAACGTGTACTAGGGACCGAATTTTGCCAGTCCATCTGCGTTTTATAACTCACCTCTTTCCAAAATATAAAAGAAGAAAAGAAACCTTTCAAAGTTTCAGGGTTTTATTATTGAACTGTTTTATTTAAACAAGGAATTCATAGTGTAAGCAATTCAACAATTAAAGGAACGCTTTCAGTTTCCCTAGATTAAATTTTTGAGTTTGAATTTTGTCAGAGGGCGCTGTTACCGGTCAAAAATGGTTGAGTATCGTGCCCAATTAGGCACTATACTCTGGAAATTACGCGCACGCGATGTCTCGACGCGCGTCTAGTTCACGCTGACGCAAGTTTCATACACTATAGCCTTTATTACTGAATCACACGTGACCGTGTTTCAGCCAACCGGGATAAAGAACAAGCAAGAGGTTTGTTATGACTCGGCTTGTTATACAACTGGGCTTAACTATGCAGTTAACTCTAGTTATTGCTCGAACCTGATCAAACTAGATTTTGCCCTTCACCAACGTTTAATATATGTATACTCAGTGTGTTACATCCCTAGTGAAAGTTGGAAAAAATCACTCAGGTGTGACTCGAACCCACGACCTCCTGTTTTCTAGTGCAGATGTCTTACCACTCGACCACCGAGCTATAACGGGATTGGTTGGCTGGCTCGAATCTGATGTACATAGCAGCGGGCACCGCATAAACTATTATAAGATGGAATTTTGCGTCGGGGTGATATAAATCAAACTAGGTTTTGCCCTTCATCAACGTTAAAACACTGTATACTCAGTGTGTTACCTCCCGAGTAAAACTTGGGTTCGAGTCCCACCCGAGTGATTTTTTTCCAACTTTCACTCGGGAGGTAACACACTGAATATACAGTGTTTACACGTTGGTGAAGGGCAAAACATAGTTTGATTTATATCACCCCGACGCAAAATTCCATCTTATAATCGCTCGAACCTGGTCACGGTAGATTAAAAAAGTCTCTAAATCATTGTTTTGCATGTACATGTACTTACATAGCTATGGTAATGCATGACAGACTGCAGATCATATGGGGCAATCAGCTCCCGGTCCACCATCCTGAAGTTATGGGCGTACCCTGGCATGATGTTGTCCTCGATGATCCTGACATGGTCGCCTCGATCCGGGCGGGTTTGTTCATGCATAACGCCGAGGGCGTGGCCTATTTCGTGAAGGCAAACCCTGACCTGAACATACATATGAGCAGAAAAGAATAAGTGAAAATTAAGATTAAAACTCCCATCATTAGAACCAGGCATATCGCACAAACGGTTTAAACCTTGTGCGTTCTGCGAGATTACTATGCTAGCTGAATCACACACGTCATCACCTTTTTTGGACAATTTCTTTTCAATGCACCGATACTGGAGCAACTGAAGAGAGATCCCCTTTCATACCAAGCAAGTGCCAAGCAACTCAGTTTCTATCTTAGAATAATCCAAAAAATGAAAACACCTAAAACTTACTTGTTCTCCTAAATTATTCAGACAGTGTTGCTGTTGTCATGGCAGAAGTTTCAAAGTCTTTTTTTTCCGCACTTTTTCTTCAAACAATTTACAACTACTCACGTGATCACAGAGGTCGTTCTGTAAGTTGAGATGTCCGCCTGGACCGCCAACTGACGAGTAGCACCTTAAATTGGAAGCAGAACTCAGCATAAAGTGCCGATGTAACATTAATTTAAAAAAACCCCGGGGGGGGGGGAATAACGAGTGGCTATGTGTAGAAGTTTCTACCACTCGCTTTTAAACAGTGACATTATTTTGGCCTCTTTGTCTGTTGCATCCAGCCCAGATAAAGCTGGTATGTCACTTCGTAAGTCCAAGTGGCACCCATTCAAGAAATATAGCCGGGTCGGGCGTTCAAAAACAAAGAACTCTTTCTTCCTTTTTTTCAAAAGGGCAGGACGCTAAACATGTTTTTATATTTGGTTTAACCTGCAAAACGTGAGTGGTATTAAGTAAGGCCAAAAAAGGTCTCCGGTTTCTGGTATGCGCCAACGTCGCCGTAGCCATGCGCGTCGGCAAAATGAAGAAGTATTTTTTCAATGTAAGATGATGTCTCAAAACTGCCAAACTCACTGGTTAGACTGGAATCCTGATGCTGCACAATTTTAACGTGTTTTAGATGGGGTTACGATCGAGTATAAGCTTTATATGGCCTCTCTGTACTCCCATATATTTTGCACTAGATTTAGCCGGGCACCATTTGCAGTCATCAGCCGACATTTGAAGAAAAAAAGTACCAAAAAAAAAAAGCCGCGTCGCCGTACCACTCTTGCGACAAGCTCCACACCAGAAACCGGAGCTTTTTTTGGGGGGGGGGCCTAAACGAGTGTCGCACAGTCACCACATTTGGTTGATGTAAGCTGATTTCATGTCAATGCTATAAGTCTACTTCCTGTCGTTCAAAACGTGCTTAATTTGGTCAGACTTATACCCCTTGCCGCTTCCCTTGACTGTGAGCGGTGGGATGTCTCCAGTGTAACCATCTTTGGCCTCAACGAAATTGATGCACGTCATTTCCCTGTACAGATCGACGGCTTCCTCGAACATTGCTTTCATTTCGTTACCTTCGAGAAAAAAATATTTGAGAAGACGTGTGTGTGTAATTAAAATATATACTGAAATTTGACATACGATGAGGTCATGATGTCATTACAAAATGATCATGACGACGTCACAAAATGTCAACATTTTTAGACAGTTGTTTCTATTTACAAGGTTTCGTCTTCATGCATTGAACCGTTTAGAAGAATTCCGTTTGTGTTGATATTTAGGTCTCCTTCGTTAGTAGTCGATTTTGCCATTGAATAAAACCACACGAAATATTGTTATTATGCAAGACGTAATCTGATTTTTGGAAGCGTATTTCTGGATCTGCCCATAAAACGTATAGCTGTTCAAAAATAGAAACAGTAGTAGCAGACGTCAATATGGCATTTGATGAAGCCTGTGAAGTCCTTGGAGATTATGCAACAATATGCCCTTCGTTTAAAAAATAAACGTTTTATTGCTTTTTTGTTTTCTGCAAAGGCATAATAAAGTTCTGCGCGAGGCTAAAGAAAGAATGGATCGTGGCTACACTGTATTAAATAATAATTATTTAGTACAGTGTGTCAACAACCCATTCTTTCGTTAGCTCGGAGCTGAACTTAATTATGCCGTTACAAAATACAAAAAAGCAATAAAAAAAAATAGTTTTAGATGATATTGAGTATGCTGCATTTGCCATATGCAGACAATTAAAAATTATCATTTCCTGAAAATGCAATATATGTTTTATTTCTGTTTGTCTTTTTGTGGGCATACTAAAATTCTTCTCTGAGCTGAAGAACCTGGTTCGTGGCTACACGGTACAAACAAAATAACTACCTGATAAAAATTCGAGCAGTAAACATGTGAGGCACGACCAAATAGAAAAATAACTTCTGGTCTGATGACGTCATCATTTGGAAACTTTGCATATTAGTTTGGCACTCTCCTCTGCAAGTTTATCATCAGTCAAAGAGGTCAGTTCAGAGGCGGTTCTACGGGTGGCCAGAAGGGGGGCTGCCCCCCCCCCCCAAAAAAAAAATGTCTAGCCCCCCCCTAAAAATTCCATAAAAAAATTGCACTAGCCAAATGTATACATATGACGTACATGCAAACGGTCTCCCCCTATAGATAGTTATGAGAAGGGTGCATTTGTACACGTTTAGCTAATATTGTGTGCCTGATTGTAGGATTTGATCAGCGCTCCATTGAAATTCCATTTCTTTACCCAAAGTATGCCCAAGCAGTTAAAAACTGGTTTCCATTGAAGCCCTGCATTTGGAGCATCTTCAATCGGCGTGACTCTGGAACACAAGTCTATAGAGTTCGCCCAAAAGACATTGGTTTCAGAAAAAAATTCATGTATACATTTCACATTGTAAAGACCCTGACGTCGTTCTGAACGATTGCATCAGTCGATCTTTCGACGACTTGTGCGTGTAGTCGTTCCTTATTGTTTCAAATGGCGAACTTTCCTATGACCCAGACTTTTGAAATATTATGTCAGTAAAAAAATATATATATTGTTAGTGGAAAATCAAAAGGACTATAAGTTTTGACCATCTACGGGTAACTGTATCCCTTTCATATAAATGTTGGAACTCTTTTAATTTCAAAGAGTGAAAATTCACTCCATTTGAGTGAAAATTCACTCCCACAGTCGGAAACTTGGGACTAGACGTTGTAGAGTGAAATGTCTTCAATCGTAAAGATCGAGTTTTCACTCGAGCTTCGACTGAAGTGGTTCATTTTCAGTCGAAAATGAGAGTGATTTTCACTTTAAAACGTCTAGTCCCTAATTTCACTCTTCGGAATTTAGAGAGAATCAGCGCCAGTCGGAAACGGGCGGTTTGAAAGCCGTCATTTATGCCAAATTGGCAATTTTCTAAGCGCTGATTTCAATTTAAAGGATTGTTGCTAAGGCAGATTATTATCATTTCAAAACAGTGAAAATTCTCTCCACAGAAACTATGACAAGACGATTTAGATTGAATTGCACTCAATCGAATGGATCACGATTTCACTGGAATTGTTTATTCTAATTCGTCTGGTCCCTATAGTTAAGTTTCGCCCTTTGGAAATTATTGAGTGGAGTCCCTCAAGTCACAGGACTTAACTATCCAGAGGCCGAAACCAAAGCGAAGTTTTGACACAACAACCTCCTCGACCCCCAGTAAAAATGAAGCTTTACTCACTCAGCGAGGAATCAAACTGGTAAACGAGGGTCTTGTCTGGCCACAGTCGGAAGGCAGTGCTGGCAAGTTGGAGCACTTCGGCTCTGTCCTTGGACGTCACCTCTTGCATCATGTTGTAGACCTTCTTCTGATCCTCGCTCATCTCCATGTCTCCCTCCAGACAATTCGGAGACGGAGTCATCTCCAACTTGGCTGCGATCTTGTCATTGCCCATGAAGAAGTCCACCGCCTCGCCATTGAATTCGTCTCGCACCTGGTAATGTATATACATTATGACAATAAAGCACGATCTGCATTGTCAATCTCTTGGGCCGTCAGTATTTTATATCTCCCTTTATGAGTTTTTGTTCTTGCTATTTTTGATGAAGAGAGGATCTAACAAGGTTAGTGGGACCGCTGTTTTTTTTTTAAGAAAAAGGGAAGCTCTACGTCTACAATTCTAGGAAAAGTAGGGAGTGAAGGTATGAAGATTACCGCTCGATAGTCCCAAGGTTCGTTGTCCGAAGAGTCATTAGTCCACAGGTTTAATAGTCGAAAGGTTTACTAGTCCGAACAATAGAATAATGTTAAATAAACCGAAGGTTTGATAGTCTGGATATACGATGGGGTTCGATAGTTCGAATCGACAATAACGTTCAACAGATCGATTTGACAACATGGAACCTAGTTGTCCATTCAGATTATTGAACCTATTCGGACTATTGAACATATTTGGACTATTTTTTTCCCTTTCTGGTCACCTATTTCATATTTATATCTTTGGTTATTAAAATTCTTATATACACAGTTTCGACAGGTCTGTAATAGATATTCGTTTGCCAATAGACTATTTCACTGTGTCGCAAATCCCAACATCATGATTATCTATTTATTCATTTTATATCTTCGGACAATAATTAAAATTCTATTGAAAAAAAATTGTCCTGGTCTAGACAAAAGTTGTGTGAAAACTGTCATCAAAGATGTGTCAGACCACAAAAAAAAAGAAGATTATTATATAAGATCAATAAAAAACCCATTGAAAAATATCCAATATAAAAATCCCCCACCCAGAATTTTTTTTATCATAAACAACAAATTATAAACAAACAAACAAAGGCACACGAAGGGCAAGTATAAGCAAACCCAGTGGAAAGAAAAATACGCAAATGACAAATAACCCAAAACACTACTGAAAAAATTATAAAAAGGAAATACAGTAAGACCCGCAAAAAAACTAATACATTGATAAGGAAGTAAAGCGTGTAGCTCCTTATGATCGGTTAAAAACGAATGAGTAAGGTCACCACAGTGTTGTAGTCGAGTACATTTCCATGAGAACGAGTACGAGTAAAGTACTTTGTCATTAGTACGAGTACGAGTGCAAGTACAAGGCAATTTTTTTCTCATAAGTACCTTCCACAGGTTGGAGCCCATTAACTCTTCATTTATTCGCTTTGGAGGGATTTTTTTAAGTAACAAACAAGGCATTAAACAATTGCAGAAGCCTCCCAAACAGTAAAAAAAAAAAAAACCTGTATTTTTATTCATGCATGTAGCTCTTTATTTATTTTTTCAAATCTTGCGGGAGAACATTTCCGAGGGTACGAGTGCGAGTACGAGTGCTCTGTCACGAGTACGAGTACGGGTAATTTCTTCCTGCGAGTACGAGTACGACTACATTTTCATGAGTACGAGTATGAGTACCAAGAAATGTACTCGAGTACTGTAGTACTAGTCAACAACAAAATAGGGCACCGGTAAGATAGAAAATTAAAAGCCACTCTACTCTAGAAGGGTGTTAGCTGGAAATCACTCTTTCACATGATAGGATGGTTGCTCTGAAATCCAGGCGTCCGAAAGTGTCATCCAGGGTTGGCTGATTTAAATCACTGGTATAAATCACGATTTTAATAAAATGATTTTAAAAAAATCACTGATTTAAATTACTTCTTTTGTAAAAGTCTTATTTTTGGCAAAATTTATTGATTGAGGGTCATTTTTGTCACTTGAATCAACTGATTCCACCTAAATACATAGTGTAAGATGTTGTTAACACATTCAAACACCCCTACTTCATCAGCATCGACTCAACTTACATTTAGGTTTTGCATAATTACCCAAAATCATTGTTTTGATTAAAGTCAAGATCTTCTTCGAAGTTTGAATTACAAATACAGCACACTCACTTATGCTTTGATCATTCCTGGATCTGTTTACAGTAATATTGTGAATCAACTGTGCTGGTGTAGGCTTACCTGAACCATCCAAAGGTGTGTTATCTAAAACGACTGAAATTGACATAATGGCTGATACAAGACATGCCAATGAGTGGAGACTATTGTACAAGTTTCTGGTTTTTCTGTCCCGAACAAAGCTATTCGAACATTTAAATTATGTTTCCAGACATGAACTTACCCCCTGGTCAGTCCCGGCCAGTGCAGAACCGACCAACAACAAAAGGATCATGAACACCTTCATCTGGCAGATAGGCTAGCTGTGTGTGTGAACGTTGGAACTCTCCTCCACTAACTGATGCAAGTCCGCATGCAACTGCCCCTTTTATTGGTTCAAGGGTCCGTTAAACCATTGCGTGCAAACTCGAAGCGAACTCCGAAATGACTAGATTGATTGTCGTCAAACTGCCGTATTGTTTTTCGCAAAAGCGGGTCGTCTTTATTCTATAGGCTTTTAATTTTCTTTATTTGGTGTTACCCATATTTCGTTTTGTATCAATGGGGAGCGAGGTCTCTATCAAGCGGTGCCCCCCATTTGAAATATTGATTGCCAACAAACAATATTTATGTCCTTAGTGTTCCATCGGGAAAAAAAAGCTGCAAACAACCATTGTTAAACCTGAAATAGTGTTAGAGTCAATGGTTGTGTGCTATTTCAAATGAAGGTAAATAATTAAGGCCTAAAACATTTGTTGCACCGCCCATTTTTCTATTAGTGTTTTCTTGAGAATTTTCTTGATTTTTTATACGTATGTTCAAAAAAAGAATGGTCGCAGCACAAGAGCAAACTGTTCAGCTTGGTACGGCCGGCCGCACGGTGTTTAAAATATCTGCTTAGAACTTCATTACTGCATAAAACGTCATAGTGATTTATTTTAAAAAAAAAGTTATTTTCACCAATATTAATAAATGAAACAGCAGGATTCTTCGCCATACCAGCCAGAGCATAATGACAATCAAAGTGAGCCAAAAGTGCAATGTGAGGAACGTCAACTACAATAACAGTTTTCTGCTCCAAAAGGGTGAAACAGTTTGAGCCAAAACTTTGTCTCATTACTGATAAAACATTTGACTTGTTGTTAAGAATTCAATATGCAATTTTAAATTACGAATATAACTCGATTTATGTTAAGAAGTACGTTTAGCTTTTTTTCTAATGTGGCCCATGAAGCTCTATAATACCCCTATAAACTGCATCGGGTTCTTAATAAAGCACACATCTTAACGTCTTATCTTTTATCCTTGTAATTAAGTATTTTTAAGACGCCACATCGCTTTTATCTCCTGAGCTGATCGTTTTGGGGTTTCTTAATCCAGCACCATGTAATCTTATTAGAACGTATATATCAAAAATTGAAGAGAATATATCAAAAATTGAAGAGATAGCGTATGCAATAGGCTACAGCGTTTGAAAGTTGAATGTAATAATTATATTCAACTTTTATAAACACTGTAAAACATGTACATAAGTAAACACGAGTTAAACGTGAGGCGTTTACAAAGTTATCGGAATGTTTGATTTGTGTTTTTTTGAAAGTCAAATTTAAAAAAAAAAAGCAGCTGCAAAAGTTTAAACGGCTGTTTAACTTTTTTTTAGAACAAAGATACCTTCATGATGAACCCAACTCAAAATGTTTCAAATGTTTATAAACTGTTGCAAAAAGAAGCATGTATAATCTGTTCAAAAGTTGAACACTGTAGGTTTTGGAGCGTGAGGGTTGTACCTCCATTACTATCGTGTTTGTAATGAACTCATTCATAACAAAATCGATACGCCTTTTTCCACAATATTATGCCTTAGTATCGTAGGTAGATGGAAGAATTTAAAGGTACCAATTAAACCTCAATATACATCTAGCCGTAAACATAGGCCTATTGGAGTTGAATATAATTTTTCACCTCGTTTAATAAACAGAGGTAACAAGTCCTTTTATATTCTGTAGTAGTCTTCAGAAATATGTGGTATCCGTTTATTCTGTTTCAAGAATACTCATGGAGGTTGTGCAATTTTGTTTCCAATCCTCATCGGCTGAATAATCGTCATAGGTGCTGCTGCCTTTGATTGGTTGATAGCCTCTCCGGCGTGGCCAGTGGATCTGCAAGATTCTACAATTGAGGAATAATCATCCATTTTGCGTCAAAGTTTGTGCCATATTCTTTCAAACTCATTGTCGTATGTCCATGCATTATGATACGTTCTGTGAGGGACACCAACTACACGTTCCATGAGTTACAGTGTGTATTAAAATGGCGGCGCCCATGCCACGAGTTCCTGTGAAGACTCGGTGAGTTCGTTCCATTATTTACTGGTTTGAAAGGACCCATAAACACAACATAGTAACAGCGGTGGTCCCAGTAAATGTTTGCGGACATAATCAGTGACATTTTGAGACTGTATCACGTCAGGTAGTTGGACATTTTTGTGGCAAAACAAACCGTTATTTTTTCGTCCAATTCGCCACGTACGTACGTGTGTCTAACGTACATCGATCATGTCGCAGTCACAGGGGGCGCCCTATAGTTCAACTTTGATCGGACAGCTCGATCCATATGACCAAGTAGAGGAAATCACCAACTACCTCGAACGATTGGACCTGTATTTCAAGGCCAATGACATTTCTCCAGCCAAGCAGTCTGCTGTTCTGCTGAGTTGTATCGGAGCAAATGTGTACAAAACTGTGAAGAGCCTTTCTGAACCTGTGGCAGTCACTGAAAAGACTTACGCTGAACTGTGTACTCTGCTCAAATCGCACTACGGGCCCAAACGACTGGTGATTGCTGAACGATTCCGGTTTTATCAGCGCAATCAAAATGCTGGTGAGACTGTAGCACAGTATTCTGTGAAATTGCAAACCTTGGCTGGACCGTGTAAATTCGGTTCTTTTCTTGATGATGCCCTCCGCGACCGGCTAGTTTGCGGCATACGCAGTTTGTTCATCCAGAAACACTTGCTCACTAAAGATGGCCTGACATTCTCCAAAGCCATTGAAATTGCCAAAACGCTTGAAACAGCCACAAAGGATCAGCAGGACATTAAGGCCCGGGGAGATAGTAATACTACTACAGTCCAGGCAGTCCATCAGGTGCAGCAGCGCCAGAAGCAACGCTCCAACAAACCTCCCATGAGAAGGGATCAGCGATCCTCGTACCCCAGACTGAGTGGTCCCCTTTGCCAGAATTGCGGCTACGCCTTTACCCATAGAACTTGTCCTGCCAAGGGACAACACTGTAAGAGCTGCAATAAGATCGACCACTTTTCAAAAGTCTGCCGATCAAGGCCTAAACAGATGCGAGCAGTTCTCCAGACAGATCCAGAACAAGAGAATGAAACCTGTACTTTTGCAGAGAACGAGTTCTTTGTCGGTGCCATACGCCGACAGCAACTGCCCATCGATGACGTTTGGAGACAAGACCTCCATGTACATGGACAGACTGTGTCATTCCTACTTGACACGGGCTCTGAGGTCAATATCCTCCCGCTTGACATCTTCAACGCGCTGAATGTCCCCAATAAGACCCTACAGCCGTCCTCAACTCGCCTTACAGGATTCTTCGGGGGAAAAGCCACACCAATCGGCCAGACCAGACTCATTTGCCAAGTCAAGGGCAAAACACAAAGCTTGCTGTTCCTCATCCTGCCTCAGGGAGAACCAGTCATAGGCAAGCATGCCTGTGACTCGCTTGGATTGGTCCACAGAGTCTACACTCTACTCAGCCATGAGAGTGTTTTTGAAGGAGGTGGATGTCTGCATGGACAAGCAGTTAGCATCAAGGTAGACGAAGCCACCACCCCTTACTGCGTCATGACTCCTCGTCGTATCCCCATTCCTCTCATGCCCAAACTGAAAGAGGAGCTGGAGAGGATGGAGCAACAGAACATCATTCAGCGTATCACTGACCCCACAGATTGGTGCTCGCCTATTGTGATAGCGCCGAAAAAGAATGGTGACATTCGCCTATGCGTAGACCTCAGACGACTGAACAAAGCAGTTGTCAGGGATAGGTTTACCACACAGATGACTTCAGCTGAACAAGGACAAATGCAAAATCGCCCAAACAAAGGTCGACTTCCTCGGCATGAAGCTCGATAAAGACGGCATCCATGCCGACCCTGCAAAGATCGCAGCGATCATCCAAATGCCACCGCCAACCACCAAAACCGAAGTCAAACGACTAATGGGGATGATCAATTGGCTTGCGCGATTCATTCCCCATGTCTCTTCAGTCGCTGCACCAATAAATGACTTACTGAAGAGTGATGTCAGCTGGGTGTGGGGATCACCACAGCAGTCAGCTTTTCGCAGCATTAAGACACTCCTCACATCAGCTCCTGCACTCACTTTCTTCTATGATCCAAATAAGCCGACCATGGTTAGCGCTGATGCAAGCGAATACGGACTGGGTGGATGTATTCTGCAGCAACAAGATGACAAACAGTGGAAGCCAGTGGCGTACTGCTCAAGAAGCCTCACTCCGTCTGAACGACGCCATGCGCAGATAGAGAAAGAGCTGTTGGCCTCGGTGTGGTCGTGCGAAAAGTTTTACGTATACCTTCGAGGCCTTCACGTCACCATACAGATTGACCATAAACCGCTGGTTCCACTCATCAACAATAAGGATCTGTGTGATGCTCCGCTGAGGTGTCAACGACTTCTTATGCGTCTCATGAAGTACCACTGCACTGCAGAGTACGTACCTGGCAAACTCCTCACTGTGGCCAATACCCTGTCTTGCGCACCCTTGAAGTCATCGGTCACTGAAAGCGACAACCTTCCAGACGAAGTTGAAGCACATGTCCATATGGTCACAAGCCACTGGCCAGTCTCCCAGGGGAAATTGGACGAGATCAAACGTGAAACTGCCCTCGATGAAGTGCTGGTGCAAGTCGCATCATACATTCGCAGTGGCTGGCCAAAATACTCCCGCGACATTGAATCAACAGTGTAGCTCTACTGGGAGAACCAAGACAACCTCAGCTTCGTCCAGGGGATCCTCACCCATGGTGACCGCATCGTCATCCCGGCAAATATGCGCCAAGAGATGCTGTTGAGGATCCACGAAGGTCACCAGGGAATATCAAAGTCCAGAGCCCGAGCTGCTCAAGCCGTTTGGTGGCCAGGTATTGGGAGCGACATTGCCCAGTACATAGAGAAATGCTCCTTCTGTCAGACCAAGCAGTCAGCACAGCGAGCGGAACCTCTAATCTCGACTCCGCTTCCTGAACGACCTTGGCAACGTCTTGCCTGTGATCTGGCAGAGGTCAATGGGAGACACTACACTGTCCTAGTCGACTACTTTTCGCGATGGATTGAGGTCCATCCTCTCCAGACAACAACGTCGTTGGCCGTCATTACCTTTTAGAAGGCCACTTTCACCCGTTTTGGCATACCTGAGGTTATCGTCACCGATAATGGGCCACAGTTCCTGACCGAGTTCAACCAATTTGCAAGTGAGTATGACATCCAACATCTCATATCTAGCCTAAACTACCCTCAGGCGAATGGAATGGCCGAGAAGGCCGTCGACATTGCTAAATCGATGCTCCGGCAGCCTGATCCTCTGCGAGCATTGCTGACCTACCGATCCACACCAATCCCAGGCCTCAACCTTAGTCCTGCACGCCTGCTGATGGGTCGCGAACTACGCACAACATTGCCAACACTCCCTCGCAATCTCCGACCCAAGGTGATCAACACGCACCAGTTGAAGGCAGCCGACAAGCAACGTAAGGCCAAGAGCGAGTCTTACTTCAACGAGAAGCATGGCGTCCGTCATCTGTGTGAGTTGAAACCAGTTGACACCGTGCGGATCCGCAACAAAACACATCTGAGTCTGGTGGGTGAGGTGGTTCGCAAAGCAGGTCCCCCACGCTCCTACATTGTCAACGTTCAGGGCGTCGTGTATCGTCGTAACCGTCGCCACTTGCTGCTTATCCCAGAACCAGAACCAGTTCTTGAAGTCCAGACCCCACCTGACCCAATTCACCCACAGAATCCCAAGCCAACAACAACAACAGTCAGACCACGACGCACAGGAAAACCTCCACGCTGGCACCAGGATTATGTGGTGTACTAAACCTGGCACTAAACTGGAACATTGGACTCTACACTCCTTTTTTGAATTTCAGATATTTTGGGGGATGCTCCCATTGTCTTCATAAAAATGACATATCGATGCAACGTTTGTGACTGATTGACTCTTGCTGTTGAAATTGTACTCAAGTCATTTGTCTCAGGTCACACTGCATGGATCGAGCTCATATCAAAAGCTTGTCAAAGCCAACCTACAGCATTTCATCTTCGACGAGAGGCAAGTCTCGTTTGACCATTGGACCTGAGGTCAAGTAAAAACAAACAGTTTCTCGTTCCCGCCTGCTCTCTTTTTCCCGCCTTTCTCTTTCAAAAAAAATCATACATTTACAACATGTGTTACACCCCCAACGGCCACGGGAGCAGCCGCTGCAGAGTGTTCATTAAAAAGACTGCAAAACTGCAAGAATAAAGACAAATGGACACTGGTTTAGCTTGGTGTGGTGGTCAATGTTCCTCACTCATCGAAGTCTTAGATCAGAATCACAAAACAATAGTAAAAACAAATGCACAAAATAACTCAATAAGCATGATTCGAAAATCGACTCTGGTATCGATAATAATATCGATTCTGTCCTGCTTCTGAATAAACATAATCGATTATATCACCTAAATCGATACTGGCCATGTCTCAACCTCACTGTTTATCTCTAGTCCAGGACTGACTCACTTCTAATTAGTTATGCATGAGTGCTTCCCATCCTGTGCTCTAACTATCAAAGAATTCATGCACATGTACAATACATACATGTCATCTAGTAGTACAGAATGTCCTGCAGTACATGTATGGAGTAAGCCAAAAAAAGGGTAAAGTTTATAATAGAGAAATCTCTGTCTTCAATAAAATAAAGTAAAAAGGAGTAAGCAAAGGAATCGTTCTTAATTATTCTTAACAGTCCAAGCATGAAACCTTGTCACAATGTCACTCTCCATAGAGTGGGACAATATAAAAGTTATAAATGACACCGTAAAAACTAGCTCTTAAGAACCTGGCAACTTCCGTCTAGTATACGCAAGTCAAAAGCAACTTAATATCTCTAAGAGCAGTCTCAACTAAACCTGGGCGGACAGTACTTTCTTGTAAGTACCAAGTTACAAAATAGTTGAAGGAAACGCCGTACCTGTCAGACTTATCTTTTCCATTAAAAGACAATCCAGAAATTAACAATGACTACACATAATTAGCAGGCAAAACAGGAAACATTTATGAAGGCAAAATTGAGTAAAGGCTAAAGTATTTGCCTCTGTACTCTGGCACACTCTGACCATGTGCTTTCTTAAAGACAAAGAAGCTAAAAGTTTAGCAGACTCTGGCATCACTTTTAACTAAACTTTATATCCTGACCAAAATGTACATGTTTCCTCTCTTCACTTCCATAATCTGTCATCAAGATAAAAAATGAAAAAGAATACAACATACCTGCAAGAATAAAGACAAATGGACACTGGTTTAGCTTGGTGTGGTGGTCAATGTTCCTCACTCATCGAAGTCTTAGATCAGAATGACCCAAGAACAAAGACCATCACACAGCCCTCCAGTGCCCCACAGGAAGTGACATCATATCCTGCCACATGTACCCAACAGCTGTTTCCTGTGAAGGTGGGGTATCTCACATGAAACAGTAGTTAGTACACTCATGTACTGATAAACATTAAATGCAAATGTGGTTCCAAGAAAAGTGGGGGAGGCAGTACATTAAAAAAATGGGGGGTGTCCCAATACTACAACACATGGTTTGACAATATATTGTCAAACTATGGAAGGCCATTTCAAAAATAAAGAATGCGTGTAGTTATTAATGTTCCTAATTATAACATGTGTTGTTTGTTTGCAATTATTCGGCAATTGACCGGGATAGCTCACGAAAGTCTCCCAACTTATTTCTAGTGGGGTTCCTTGTTAGAAGATGTGGAAGGAAATTACAGTTTTAGTGGCGGGAGGAAAACCTATGATATTTTAGGGAAACTCACAGAATCAGGTTGGGACTGAAAACCAAATCCACATATTGCCCCAGACGGGATTCGAACCAGGATCACAGCGGTGGAAGACGAGGACAGTAGCCACTGCGCTAACCTGATGCCTCCCCTGTACAAAGTACAGATCAACAAACGCCTTACACCAAATTGATAAATATGCCCCTTTAAAAAAAAAATCGGGTGTTAATATGTATATTTTGGCAAAATATGTAAACCAGCCTCAGCTTGTTTATGTCCATGTGGCAGCCCATACAAAATGGCACTTACTGTTTATAAACTAAAGAAAAGTCTATAGCTATAACACAAAAAAATTGTCGACAAAAACAAAAATGATAGGGATGACACTCTCCCCATTTTGATCCTCTAATCCCCTACTGACACCCTCGATGTGTAAATTGTCTATGAGTCCGTTCTGGCCGATGCAGTCTCTCTTTTTTAACAGCGGCTGCCTCTACTCGCAAAAGCATCACTGCAAACACATCTAACCTGGATTACATGATTAAAACTCGTTTATAACCGCCTTTGTAAACAGTTAAAACAATGCAATATTATGGTAGAAGAGCATCATGGCCTGTATACTGAAACAATGTTTAATTGAAGTGTTCATGGGTTCCTATAATGATTCACGTGCTTCATCGGCTTAAGTCAGTGCAGAGTATTTTCACAGAGCTGAGGGCGCCGTGTTCAAGTGCTCCTTAACGGCCAGAAAAGGAGAGTTGGGGGAGACCTAGGCTGGTTCCTGGTCCATCCACTGCGTATTTCGAATGATCCAAAGTTAGCGGGGCAGGGATTAGTCTGGGAGACCATCGCAAGTTAAATTTGGTAAATAGGTTTTGCACATTCAGGAAGTCGTGCGTACTTTGTACGCGAACCAGTACACACAAGTTTACGTTATATACCAAGTGTGGACTTTCCATTGCTTTCGTGTAGTTAAGAAAAACCAGTAAAAAAAATTCATTTTTCTCAAACTGTGAAAACTCTTTCAACCCAATTTTTTTCTATGATTCCCTTTAGTGTTTCTCTTCATTCTGCTACCGATAAACCTAACCCAAAAATGCCTCTAAACCTGTTTTCCAGAAATGGGGAAACACTGTGTGGACTTGCCAAAGTCCGCACAGTGTCTCCTCTACCTGGTTTATGTGGATATCTTTTGTTCGGAAGTCCACACAGTGAATGTAATGCCTGTACACTTCTGTGCGCACACGCTTTGTGTCCCTATCAAAAGTGTTAAAACGCGCCCTCTTTTGTTGGCGCACGGAGCCCAAAGTCCGGTATCTCTAGCTGCCGTTTATTTCACCTTTGCTCGATTTTACTAGTTTTTTTTTTTTTGCATAACTGCTATCTGGTTACGTTGTCAGCTCTGTTTACATTGGATCCTAATGGGACAAAAGGCAAACGTGTATTAAAAGAAAAGATGTTATCGCTAGCTGCTGCAGTAGACCCTTGAATGCTATCATAAAATATAGTCACATAATTGGTATTTTATAATATATGAACCTTTGGCCCGTGATTAGTATTGTTGAAGGAGGTTTACATCAGATAGCATATAAACTGCCGGCATGCTGGAAATATTTCCTCCAAGGCCTGAACTAAACAGGAGTAAGCATCAGTTGTAAACTGTACTTCAGGAGGCCAAGTGGATTCGAACGATAGGTAAGCTAATTTAGTCAATACTGATTCGCATTTTTGAGACAAAACTCTTTGCACAATCAACAATTTATAGCAATCCTGCTATTGTTTCATACCTGAACAAGACTAAACAAGGCTATAGTAAACCTGGTCATATACGTCGCATCTGACACCATGTCAGTGAGATAGGTACAAGGAGACAATAGCTGGTCAGCAAAAATACCAATGAGTAAAAGCAACACAACCATGCATAGTAAGTACCTTCGCTCAAGAGATATGTCGATACCAACAATAAGCATTATAGTTTAGTGTCAATAATTTCCTCTGGCGAATTTGTTGAAGTAGCAAGTCCAAAGAGGCACCTTTATGGTTAGATTTTAAAACTCACCTGCCATATAAACGTAGCGCTAATAACTATTGCATCGCTTAAGTCTAGAATGCTAACCTTTGAAATTTAGAGGGGACTCATATGATTAGTTGCCTTGATGAGTTTGCCAGGAACTCTTAACCACATAATATTATGAAGCCTGTATAATCTGAAATTCATTAACAGAAACGCGTAAAAAAGGGACAAATAAATCGTTTCACATGTAGCGTAAACGTCACACAGCGCACTGGTTTTGAAGTAAGGTTCCGGCCCCACATAATAACATTTATTTTTAAGAACGAATTTGCTTTTAAAAAAAATGGTTAAGTCTGTTTCCAATGAAGTGTTATGTCAACCGCCACCTTCAAATAATTCGAGATATGGATTATCACGGCATGTATTTAAGGTTACATTAATCTAAATGTTTTTCTTTTCATTCCTGACGCATCGAGTGTCATAATATGGGGACCTATTTCTTTTTCTTTTCTTTTCTTTTTTTTGCTTTAAAGGTAGAGGCCTACGCGCACTATAGTTTTTTGAAAAGGTGACTTGTAGATCTGTTTAAAAATTGTTGGTAGTACTATTATATATTCCTATAGGTGTGTAAAGGCCTGCCTTTAATCCTTAAGAATGACGGATAGCGAGACAGAAGTAACTCCCAACTCACCATCCAAATCGATGTCAAGTCTCGAGCGGGCCCAACGCCGTTGGGTAACGGTAGAACCCATCATATCCCTGGCAGTCGTCGGTTCCATTACCATCAGTCTAATCCGACCGTTCTACCTGAAGGGCCGTCTAGGCGAATCAATGTTTAACATCACAGAGCAAGAAGAGATTGCCAAGTGTCAAGCCAATAACAGCGATGGTGGTGTCATTGAGGATGAGATCCAGGCACAAGCTTCGCTTTGGTTGTTGTATTTGTCTACTGCTGCGAAAATACCGGTCGTAGTGAGTTCAATTATCCTTGGTACCTTAAGCGATCGGCTGGGGAGGAAGTTGTGTTTGGTAATACCAATTTTTGGTTTCATATGTCAAGAGATCGTGTATATCCTCTCTGTCTACTACAAACTCCCTCTTCCAGTTCTCTTAGTTGGTGACGTCATACAGGGACTGTCTGGAGGTTATATGTCGCTGTTCGCTGGTTGCTTATCGTATATCACCGACGTCACATCAGAGAAGCAGAGAACCATGCGAATCGCGGTGGCAGAGATGCTAATGCTTTTGATCGGTGGTATTGTCCAAGTGAGTTCTGGGTATATGTTGAGAGATCTTGGTCCCATCCCGCCACTAGCGATGGCATTGGGGCTTAATGTCCTGTGCCTGATGTATGTCGCCATTCCAGGTATTCTGATCGACACTGTAGATCGTAAAACCATTTCCGAACATCGTAAAGGGTTCAAGGAAGCTGGTATGAGCGTGGTGAAGCTTCTGAAGTTCAACGAGAATGGCCGTCGGTGGCAGATGCTTCTCCTAGACTTCTTCTTGTTCTTCGTTTTGCTGAATGTCAACGGAGCCATGTCAATCTACATCCTGTACGGTTCGGCCGAACCATTCTGCTGGTCTGCTGCCACCGCTGGATTGGTCGCAGCGTTCGGTTTGATTGCTGGGTCTATAGGTGGGTACTTTTTTTCTAAACAAATAATTGGGTCTAACGACAAGGGTGATGCCATTTAGATAGATAGTATTATGCAGTGCACAATTTCAAATCCCATTGTGTTACAATCGGCAAAGTCCAAAAATGTATCAAGTGATATTAATATAAATTGTGTGAGTCGGACCTTTACCACAGATTATATTTCGCAATTGCTATTCACTTTTTCATGTGATACGACTATAGGCTATTTGTTCTCCCGTTCAAGTCTTCTAAGAGAAGTTCTCTTCCACAAACGCTTTGTAAATTAGTGCATATTATTGTTACTTGGTATTTAAATACCCCGGTAAAACATTTTCAAATATGCAAAATACGAAATAAAATTAATAATAAAAAAGCTTAAAGTAAATTAATATCAATCATCCTTTGAAATTGTAGGGCCTTTACAAGGTTGTCATTTTGAATAAGATTTTGGTTCTAGTGATTTGTAGAGAACCGGTTTATTTTTCTGCAAATTATACATCCGTCAGCAGGCGCAGGCCAGCTATTATTAACCTCGTGCCTACGCTTGATAAGACAGGTTTGTAATTATTTTCACACGACACAACTGACACTTGGTATTACGGCCTGTGGCCTATGGGAATTATTTGAGCATATTCAGTGACCTGCACTTTGTCGGTTGGAAACGAACAACATCTTGGTTGCTTTCTTCGTTGCTTTCTGGCACCAGTTGACACAGAACGTTGAACAAATCAGTACAAATGATGTCTACTTCAGTCTCTTCCATATATGATTTACCGACAACAAAAAATTGCATTTTTGTTTTGATACAGGAATGGTGGCTGGCACCAAATTGTTTTCATGTTGCTTGGACGAGTACTGGATTATGCAAATCAGCTGCTTGAGTAGCCTTGCTTTCGACGTCGTTATGGGTGTTTCGCAATCGACAGCGCTAGTCTTCGTCGGTAAGTGTCAGCGGTCCACTGTACAGAGTCAAAGTGCCAGAGGTCTACTGAATTCAGAGACTGGAACTAGAGGCTAACAAAGGCCTAAGGGACGTACGGTATGGCCTTTATATTTGATAATTAATTGAGGTCTACTTATGGTTGACTCGTTGCAGTAAGGATTTTAAGTTTAGAAACCTAAACAAATTTCGATAAGAAGGCCGAGTTAAAAAAAAAAACTTTCTCGTCAGGGCTTTATGAAAAATAGAAAGATCCAGACGCTGTGATTTTTCCAAGATGGCGGACGGATTCTTCTATTTCTCGGCTCTTTTGCTGGTACAAAGGAACCGTTAACCTTTCTACATAGCTAAAATTTGGGAAGGAAACAAATTAATAGACAATATTGACAATATATTGGCAAACTATATTGTAAATGTATGATTTTTTTTGAAAGAGAAAGGCGGGAAAAAGGAAGCAGGCGGGGACGAAAAACTGGGTTTTTGTTTACTTGACTAAGGTCCAATGGTCAAACGAGACATGACTCTAGTCGAAGATGAAATGCTGTAGGTTGGCTTTGACAAGCTTTTGATATAAGCTCAATCCATGCAGTGTGACTTGAGACAATTTTGTCTTGACAAATGACTTGAGTACAATTTCAACAGCGACAGTCAATCAGTCACAAACGTTGCATCGATATGTCATTTCTATAAAGACAATGGGAGCATCCCCCAAAATATCTGAAAATCAAAACGTTTTTACTGAAAACATTTCAAATTATCTTTTTTTTTCAGCGAGTGCTCTTGGAGCTTTGCGTGGGATGGGAACACCGGTTGCACGATCAGTCCTGTCCACGATCGTAGATCCAAGTGAAATTGGTGAGAAAAGACTTTATGTGTAGCAGCCATCTTAGAGGGCAATGCCTGTCTTTAGCTGTGATATGCATGAGTGAACATTTTGTTCATTTTTTGATACTGAATTAAATTAACAAACAATGCCTTGTTAAAGGTTATTGATAAAGCGGGGAGCATTGGCAAAATGGTGGCAATTAATTGTGTTAGGCCGCGTCCGAAAGTTGTGGCTGCGGCTAGAAATAACAGGTCCGCCTATGGAAGCCGCTGGCTTGTGGCTACAGCCAATTCTCATAGTAACTCCGGACCGCAGCAAGTTGATTTGGACACGGCCGAAGAGGAAGCGCATCACCTGACACTCGGTGGCGCTGTTCGTCGTACATATTCGTGTGCGAACGTTGCACATAATAAAACAATTCACTCAACAGTTTCCGATTTTAAAGAAATCTGCGCTGTGCTGCAGAACATGGCTTTGCGCCATTCCTATCCTGTCCCTTTCCGCACTTTACCTTCATTGTCTTTTTTTCCTGGGGGAAGGGGTGTTGAGCCTGCCCCGTCGATAGGTAATTTGTAGTAATGGTAAGCACATGCAGTTGTAGTCATTAACCCTAATTTCTCTTGCACCACTTTCTTGTTTTCTTTTTCTCAGGCGCAGCCTTTTCCATCGTTGCCTGCATGGATACGATATCAAGCTTCTCTGCTACCCTGATGATTCCTAGCATCTATGCAGCTACGGTGTCATACATGCCTCCACTTATCTTCTATGTGTTATCTGGCCTGTCCTTCATCCCCAATGTGATTGTTCTGTAAGCAACATTTCCTTCATGTTGATTAACGACGCAGTAATACATTGAAGCCCTACTATTGTCGGTGTTGTCAATTATTCCTCACACGTGCGTCATTCGTCCCCAAGTCTAGTCACACGACCTGTGACAAAGGCACCATTTTGTTATGATTTATCCACTTTGCTTGTGATTTACATGTGACTGTACTGGGGATGAAGTTATGCTGATCTCGACAACACTGGCTTTGCGATGAATGAAAAGTATCCATAACGGTGGATTGTGCTGTATGAATAAGCCAGTTCGGTATTTCAACTGCGCATGCGCCCAATGATATGGGGCACGCACGGGCATGGTCACTGGTCTTCGGAATAATCGAACGCTCATCGAAGGTCCATGAATCATGCGCACGGAGACGGGCGCACGACGCATGCGTGTTAATTAGGCCAAAAAAAAAGTCTCCGGTTTCTGGTATGCGCGCGCGTCGCCGTAGCCATGCACGTCGGCAAAATGAAAAATTGGGTTTTTTTTCAATGTAAGATGATGTCTCAAAACCGCCAAACTCACTGGATTCCTGCTGCTGCAAAATTTTAACGTTTTTTTAGATTGGGGTATGGTCGAGAATAAGCTTTATGTGGCCTCTCTGGACTCCCATATATTTGCACTAAGTTTAGTCGGGCACCATTTGCAGTCATCAGCCGACATTTGAAGCAAAAAAATCAGGTAAAAAAAAAAAAAAGCCGCGTCGCCGCACCACTTTTTGGGCAAGCTCCATACCGGAGACTTTTGGGGGGGCCTTACAAGCAGGCGTCTGCGTAATATGTATCGCGTATCATCACGTCAGCGATCTTATCCCTAATGACCTTTGACATGGACTACTTCACCGAGATACCGAACTGGCTTATTGTGTTTCATTTTTACGCTCGATATCCAAGCATTACGCTCAGACGGAGATGATCAGAGTTGTAACCACGTTTTTTTCCAAGTCAAGTCAAGTCTCAAGTCATAAATACAGCGACTCGAGTCCGAGTCAGCGACTCGAGTCACTGACACTGGAGGTTATGTTATATGAGTTTGAAAGAATATGGCACAAACTTTGACGCAAAATGGATGATTCTGTTCCCTACTATTCCTCAATTGTAGAATCTTGCAGATCCACTGGCCACGCCGGAGAGGCTACGAACCAATCAAAGGCAGCAGCACCTATGACGATTGTTCAGCAGAAGAGGATTGGAAACAAAATCACACAACCTCCATGAGTATTCTTGAAACAGAATAAACGGATACCACATGTTTCTGAAGACCACTACGGAATATAAAAGGACTTGTTACCTCTATTTATTAAACGAGGCGAACAATTATATTCAACTTTTCAACTCCATTAATATGTTTACGGCTAGATGTACATTGAGTTTAAATTGGTACCTTCAAATTCTTCCGTCTACCAACGATAATAAGGCATAATATTGTGGAAAAAGGTGTATGGATTTTGTTATGAATGAGTTCATTACAAACATGATGGTAATGGACGTATCTAGCTTTTGATGTCAGGGGGGGGGGGGGCAACCGCACATCTGCGCCGAAATGTAGACATGTTTTTTTCTCCGGACACTTGCCCTCCGTAAAATAAAAAAGCGGGGGGGGGGGAGGGGGGGGGGGGCTGGTACCCATCTTCCAAATGGGGGCGCTCTTCAAATCTGACCATTATTATGTATACTATATTATTATATGGACAATTTCACGGCGCATTGTAATGGTTGTTGAGCGGGTTTTCTTTGGTGGGATTGATGTCAGAAGAACTCTATAAACACTTCAAATCATTGCTGACAAAAAAATTGTCAAAAAAATTCGCCAGGGGGGGGAGTGCCCCCCCCCCCACTAGATACGCCACTGGTCACAACCCTCACGCTCCAAAACCTACAGTGTTTATACTTTTGCACAGATTATACATGCTCCTTTTTGCAACAGTTTATAAACATTTGAACGCGTTTAATTAAGGGGCTCAATTTTGAGTCGGGTTCATTATGAAAGTATCTATGTTAAAAAAAATGCAGCCGTTTAAACTTTTGCAGCTGCTTCTTAAAGAAATTTGACCTTCAGAAAAACAAAATTGCAAACATTCCGATAACTTTGTAAACGCCTCATGTTTAGCTCGTGTTTACTTATATACATGTTTAACAGTGTTTAAAAGTTGAATATATCAATTTTTGATATATACGTTCTAATAAGATAAGATGGTGCTGGATTAAGAAACCCAAAGACGATCAGCTTTCTCGTGACGATAAAAGACTCCTTCAGTGGTATTTTGGTTTTGTCTGGAGATAAAAACGATGTGGCGTCTTAAAAATACTAAAACACAAGGATAAAAGACAAGACGTTAAGATGTGTTCTTTGTTAAGAACCCAATGCAGTTTATGGGGGGTATTATAGAGCTTCATGGGCCACATTAAAAAAAAAGTTAAACGTACTTCTAAACATAAATCGAGTTATATTCGTAATTTTGAAATTGTATATTGAATTCTAAATAACAGGTCAAATGTTTTATCAGTAATGGGACAAGGTTTTGGCTCAAATTGTTTTACCCTTGTGAAGCAAGACACTTTGATTGTGGTCATATCAAGCACTTTGGACCTCGTACTCACTTGCGACGTTCCTCCCAGTGCACTTTTGGCTCAAATTGATTGTCATGATGCTCTGGCTAGTATGGCGAAGAATCTTGCTGTTTCGTTCTTAATGTTGGTGAAAACTAACTTTATATTTATTAAAAACCACAATGACGTCTTATTAGTCCGTGGGACGAGGACTTTTTTTCTCTCACCACGCGGTCTGGTTCGCCGAATTTTATAAAACTTCACAGACATGTAGATTATGGTGTACTATATCGACAAAAACGTTGTTCCCCGATCCATACTTTGTTTGGGAATGAGAAAATCTGGGATAAAAACGCCAAAATTCTACATGAGAAAAAAACATAAGAAACAGTGCCCCCTATTGACACAGTCAGAAACCTTTTCTCACGCAATGACCGTCTGACTCCGAGTTCTGGCGGTCATTCTGACGCGAGTATTTGGTATTGGTCTCGCGCTCGAACGGCGGGAACACGCGACCCACGAACACACCGCACTCGAAACAGGATCTCACACCATGCACCTATCTGTCGTTGGTTGCAAGAATGATAAACCCGGTCCCGTGTCAAGAACAATTAAGACCCGCCCAAACTCGGCCAATGGGTTCTTCTTCCTATATTATAGTCTAGCTGACACTTCTTTCATATTATATTCTAGACGTATGTTGTTTCTCATTGGAATGCAAAAATATCACCGTTACAGTTTTGTCCAACATGAAATGATCACATTATAAGTTTAATATCGATGTAGCTAAACATTGATTTGATGGTTAAACCATCACATTTTGTGAAGTTTTATCTCAGGGTAACATGTTTTCAAAAATAATACAAGTGCGTGGCATCTGGTGGAGCATCGGAACTAGTTAGGCCTGAAATTAAAAAAAAAGGAATACAAATTTGATGCAGCCTCAAAAAGGAAGCGGGTGGGCCGTCGGGTTATTTGTGGTTTCACGGATCGGAATGAACGAAGCAACAACAAAATAATGAATCGGTTCTTCAAACAGTATTTAAAATAATAAAAACAGTAAAACTGTTTCGGCTGAAACAAATTGCAGTTGTAATGCTGCCACTGACAGCTTCCATATAGGGGAATATAAATTTTATTTTCTCTTCTTAAAAAAGTTTGCAATGAATTTGATGAGACGTTTGATGTTATACAAGAACATTATCTAATCGGCCTGTAATGTATACATGTTCTCATTTAGCTCGTTTGGTTAGTTGAAAATAAACAAGTTATGCTCATTCAGTACAGATTGAACAAATTTATGTAATCTAAACACCATTCTTGTTTGTGTGGGTAACAACTGTGCAGGTTTAAATCCCCCCCCCCAAACAAAAAAAATAAAGAATAAATAATAAATGAATTAAATTAGATTATATAGGTTTTCCCGCCTATTTTATAACGTTTATCATTCGAATTCACCTTTTCTAATATTCATATTCGTCCATCACCATCGATTTAGTGCACTTCCAACGTTTAATTTCGTCTTTTGTGTGACAATTTAAAATTCAGTTCAAGCAAATTCAAAGAAGAAGTCTATGTTTTTGAACCGGGGTATCGATTTCGTCTAGTCTACGCCAAACCTTGTTAGACAGAAATTTAATTCGTCTAATTGAATTATATACGACGAATTCGATTTCTGAATGCCATTCGGCAACAGCTTAGACGTATTTGATCAGTAATGATCTTGAAAGATGTACCGGTGTCATCTGGCAGCTCAGTGCGTGCGAAAAGGTTTTTGACTGTGTCAATAGAGGGCGCTGTTTCTTATGTTTTTTTCTCATGCAAAATTTTCGGCATATTTATCCCAGATTTTCTCATTCCAAAACAAACTATGGATCGGGGAACAAAGTTTTTTAGATATGGTACATCATAATCTACATGTCTGGAAAGTTTTATAACATTCGGCAGACCAGACCGCGTATCTCGAAAACTAAAGCGTTTTCTGGCCTCTCGTACCACGTACTATATGCAATCATGCTAACTAGCAGTTCTGAGCAGATTTTCACACACCGTGCGGCTCCACCGTACCAAGCTGAACACTGCTTTTTTGCTGGTAGGGGGCACTTGGCCGGGGGTACAGCAATTTTTCGAAGGGTACTGAGGGCAACATATATTATTTGTGTGCAATTCAAGATTTCAAATGGGGGGCACCGCTTGATGGAGACCTCGCTCCCCATTGATACAAAACGAAATATTAGTAACACCAAATAAAGAAAATTAAAAGCCTATAGAATAAAGACGACCCGCTTTTGTGAAAAACAATACGGCAGTTTGACGACTAGCCATCTGGTCATTTCGGAGGTCGCTTCGAGTTTACACGCAATGGTTTAACGGACCCTTGGACCAATAAAAGGGGCAGATGCATGCGGACTTGCATCAGTTAGTGAAGGAGAGTTCCAACGTTCACACACACAGCTAGCCTATCTGCCAGATGAAGGTGTTCATGATCCTTTTGTTGTTGGTCGGTTCTGCACTGGCCGGGACTGACCAGGGGGTAAGTTCATGTCTGGAAACATAATTTAAATGTTCGAATAGCTTTGTTCGGGACAGAAAAACCAGAAAATTGTACAATAGTCTCCACTCATTGGCATGTCTTGTATCAGCCATTATGTTAATTTCAGTCGTTTAAAATAATACACCTTTTATGGTTCAGGTAAGCCTACACCAGCACAGTTGATTCACAATATTACTGTAAACAGATCCAGGAATGATTAAAGCATAAGTGAGTGTGCATGCTGTCTTTATAATTCAAACTTCGAGAAGATCTTGACTTTAATCAAAACAATTTTGGGTAATTATGCAAAACCTAAATGTAAGTGGAGTCGATGCTGATGAAGTAGGGGTGTTTTAATGTGTTAACAACATCTTACATTTTGTAAATGGTGGAATCAGGTGATTCAAATGATAAAAATTACACTCAATCAATATTTTTGCCAAAAATAAGACTTTTACAAAAAAGTATTTTAAAGCTACAGTCCATCATTTGTAATTTGTGCATTTTGTTCGTTTGAAGCAACAAAAGAGTTCAAAATCTAATGAAGGATACTGAGCAACTAACCTGATGAAGTTTCAGCTAAGCTTCAGCTGTACATTCCGAGAAAAACAGCATTCTAAGATCTCAATTTCAAATCCAAAGTTACTGAATCATATTTTGAATTGTTTTGAATTGCAGCTATACGCGACGTCGCGCACTGATCCGACGAATTATAACAACCGCGCGCGCGTGTGCGTCGTTCCAATACTTGTGCGCGCTGCGCTGAATAACAAAACGAACTACTAATTTAAATTTTCCTACGGTGCTTCTTAAGAATCACCGTTGGAAATGCCTTCTTTCGTTGATTACTTCAAAATGACAGCTTCCCAGAAAGAATAATTTCACAGGGAGTTGAGTCCCCTTACGTTTTTTCAACCAAGTTTGTTTTTCAACAATAATTACGCCAGTTACTTTTCGGATGGCTGCAAATGATGGACTATACCTTTAAATCAGGGATTGTTTTAAATCATTTTATTTAAATCGTGATTTAAACCAGTGATTTAAATCAGCCAACCCTGGATATTATACTATCGGACGCCTGTAGATTTCAGAGAAACCATCCTATCATGTGATAGAGTGAATTTCTAGCTAACATCCTTCTAGAGTGGAGTGGTTTTTAATTTTCTATCTTACCGGTGCCCGTGCCCTATTTGGTTGTTGACTAGTACTACAGTACTCGAGTACATTTCTTGGTACTCATACTCGTACTCATGAAAATGTAGTCGTACTCGCACTCGCAGGAAGAAATTACCCGTACTCGTACTCGTGACAGAGCACTCGTACTCACACTCGTACTCTGGGAAATGTTCTCCCGCAAGAATTTAAAAAAAAGAG